GATTCCCAAACAGAGTAAGAAAAGACAGACAGCAGCGAGGGGAGCTTGAGGTCACATGTTACCAAAATAGGAAATAATAAGGTTTATGATGATGTGAGAGAACAACAGCAGTGAGAGATGATGTCATCAGCATCATCTATTTTTAATTTTAATTTTTTTAAGATTTATTTTGGGGCTTTTTGGGCCTTTAATGTAAAGATCGGACGGTGGAAAGAGTCGGAAATCAGGGAGAGAGAGAGAGAGAGTGGAGAACGAGATGTGGGAAAGGAGCGACAGGCGGGATTCAAACCTGGGGCCCGCTAGGAAGACTAACCGCTGCCCCACCAGCGCCCTAGCATCATCTAAATTATAAGCCAACATGCTGTTCAAACTCAGGATGTGTGTGATTAGCTGATTAACTGCCTTCATGTTGTCACCCTCCCCAGATGTCTTCAGAATGAATAGTCAGTTCAAAGCCAGTCCAAATGTTGTGTTTAAGCTGTAATGCAGCTGCCCACCACTAGTGGGGGCTGTCGCTCTGGTTAATGGTTACTGCCATCATGTTCTATTACCCGGAGAGGAACCAGCACAGTGGACAAACCTGTGTCAGGTTAAACTGATATCTATAACCACCTGACCCAAGCAGTGCCTTACCACAGTCAGCACAGGCATGCAGAGGTCGACCTGTAACAGCGTGTCCTGACAGAGAGCGCGGCGAGCGAGCGTCAGCGACAACATCAGCCGTTTGTTGACGAGCCGCATAAAAAAACAAAGCGCCACACTTAAGTTTGTCCTCCTTCAAAACAAAAGCACTCGATGTCAAACTGTTGGAGAGGGGAAACTGAAATTCACAAAGCAAAGAATTTAATATTTAAGCATTTCCTGTCGCCTCAGCTGTTCTATCTGATAAAAGCAAAAGGTTCCAAAACATGTCATGGGGTCATTCATGATGCTCATTTCTTTTGTTGAGATGCTTCAGTCTTGAATGTGTTCATATTTTCAGCGGTTAACAATGCTGAGCGATGATTTACCGCAGCCACACTTCATAGTTTGTTGTTTGTCCATTTCCCCCGTCAGATAACCTACTTTGATGTATGTGACGGCGAGACCATCAGAAACATGGCGGGCTCGCCGTCGGGGGCCGCCATCAATGCAATAGACATCTCCCAGGACGGCAGACACTTTGTGACAGGTATGCTCGATGACGCACATCTGCTGCTGCTTTGCTGCTTTTAGTGATTTTCCTGTCAATATAATTCAGCCAGAAATAATGAAATCTATTTTACAACCTGAACTGTGAGAGTTTCTAATAACCTGAATGTGAGCGTGACAAACATTGTTTATTTTTTAAATGCTGTTCAGTGTTTAATTTTATTTTTTACTCACTTGGCTTTTTCACACATGTGCAGAGGATCGGCTGCATGTGTGAACACAAAAGGCAGATTTGTGCAGACGGGATGAGCAGATAGAAGGACGCAGCAGGCGGAGAAAATGACGTTTTTTATTTTATGTGTCATGCAGGTTATAAAGCTGCTTCCTACTCTTTTCTACTCACCAGTACATTCGTTGAAGCTGTATTACATGTAGCGTTGATATCGACAAAAAAAGAATCCTGTTTTCTTCTGAGCGTCTTTTTTTCAATTGTTTTTAATGAGGAGAGAGCGTTCGCAGCAGCAGGCGGTCACCTGGAGAAAAAGCGCAGCGCCCATCGTCTTTTGCCTGAGCGCTCTGCTGTTTTTGTACGGCCTCTTTGAGCGCTTCAAAATGAAAATCTTCAGCCCCCAGCGCTCTTTTCCAAATGTATGATGATATTCCCCGTAGTTTTGCCTCCTACAGATCGTGTCTTGTACCCACATCTCCTCGCTCCGTTTCTGATCGGAAATAAACGATCTTAAATATAAAACAAAGAGTAAAAAAGTAACGGAGCAGTGTCGATCATACAGCGGCCGTTGTAAACAGACTGTTGTCATAGAGACAGGATGGACATGCAGAGCTTTTCTTCTCAGCACACAAACACTTTGTGCGAGCACTTGACGTCGGCCTCTGCTGCTTTGTCTGCCATCTTGGATTTCCGCATCATCCTTTTGCGTCATTCCTTGCCGCCTGAGACAACTCAGACCTCCGGTCCGACGGGGCAAACCCGGTGTGAGGGACAAACATGAATAAGTAACTCCAAAAGACGTCAGGAGTGCATGTGTGAAAACAGCTTCAGATGAGTTTGTTTCATCTCTCCAGAGCCTTTTGTTTTTTCATCTCCTCCGCTGACACCGCAGCGCATCCCTCACCTCCAAACTCCTCTCAAGTCACTGACACATTCTTCTTCTCCTTTTTTTTTTGTGACAGGTGGAGATGAAAAGATCGTGAAGGTGTGGGACTTCATGGAAGGGGACGTGACCCACGCCGGGGTCGCTCACGGCGGCAGCGTCACCAGCGTCAAGCTCTGCTGCAACAACAGCACCCTGATCAGCACCAGCGCCGACGGAGCCATATTCAGATGGAGGTTCCCCCACCCTCCTTCTTCTTCTTAATGTAACACCAGTCCAGAAATTACTCATAGTATCCAAACTCCCCCCTTTCAGAATCCCTCCTCTCTTAAAAAGGTTTTCATCAGAATTGAACAGTAGTACATTCAAAGTGAAGACAGGATCACACTCTGACTAAAGGAAATAAATATAGTTTCATCAAGCAAAGCATATAAACGATTTTTTTTATCCATTTTTCTTCAGAGAAAGAGGATTCATGTAAAAGTGAAGAGATTACACATTTCTTAGCAGTGTAGTCTCTTAAGTGGAGATTCCCCTCAGGAGCTATATTTAGGTGGGAATTCACAGAGCTTGGATTTTAAAATGACACTTCAAGGCAGCAGAAAGGTATGCTTCACATCAAAGTGCCCGCATTACGCTCCTTCACTTCACTTTTCTTTTTTACAACAATAGGATTCATGTCATACTACAGGCTTTCTGCAGAGAGATAAAGAAAAACCACAAGAATATGTAAAGACAAGGCTGCATTTATACAGTACATTAAACTGGAACAGATACGATTCCCTCGCTCTGTAGAGACGTGGAGGAGGCGAGGGATTCTTTGCCGCCTAAGCGCGGCCCGCTGTCAGCTAATCTATCAACAGCTACTCCCTGAAGGATTCTGGTTAAAGAGGGAGAGGTAGAGTAAAGCAGAAAGCCCTCCTCTCTGGCTGCTGCCTCTTATCTGAGGCCATTCTCCCCATTATTGTTCAAAATGGCTTTCTAAATTATGAATTACCTCCCCCCCTCTGCTTCTCCAGGAAAGTGGGATGGCAAAACCTGCAGCAAAAAACTGAGCCAGAAAAACACTGCATCATTATTTATTTATTTGAGCTTTCATCCAACTTGCTTATGAGCAGGTGCAGGTCATTTCATAAACAACACATTTTGACACGTCATTTCTTTGTTACACTAATGAACCATGTGTGCATGCTTCTTAATAACGGAGTAAATAATAGAAACACTGGAGAGTGCACCAACTTATCTGTTTCAATAAATTAGCACATCTGGCCCGCTAAATTCAATCTTTAGTTCTGCTGAGCTGTGAAATTAAGCTGCATATGATTAGAATGGGAATGTAGCCGTAAAAGATGCTGGATCTCCCCCCTGTTGTAAACCAGGAGCTGCTCATCTAGTGTCTGGCTGAGTGGATCCCTCACATCCATTCTGAGCCTCCAGAAAGCTCCACAAAGTGTCGCACATGAACTCTACCTCAGTAGCAGCAGCATGTCTGTGTGTCAGAGGGGCAAAGCAGAACTATTTATAAGAATCTGAACATGTGTCAGTAAATACTGGTGTGTCATAGATGAGTTTAAACAGTAACACAGGGCCAAAGCAGAAAACTCCTAAGACCAGGACCAAGACATACCTGAGACCAGAGTGCTCCGAGACCGAGTCAAGACCAAGACGATAAATGTCACAGAAAAATCATCAACTTGCGCGCAGAGGGGCGTGTCACTCACTTAGACCGTTACAATGGTGCGCAATGAATCTTGGGATATGTTGGATCGGATGGATCCTTGGTGGAAAGGAGGATGTATTCTGAAGGAGCCTTTGAAATGGGACAGCCTTCAACGCGCACTGTGACGTACTTAGGAAGCTTTTGAAGGATGCAGCCCCTAAATTTGGACAAAGCCACAGACCTGTTTCCCTTCTGATACATGATTGGTCAATACTAACTGACCCAAAAAACCAAAAACCAGAACACTTTCAGTACGGATTCTGCATTTTTTTTAAGTGTGTGAACAGAGATTTTTGACACCTAGTCTTCAATGATGGAAAAACAAACATTGCTGCTCCCAGAGTCGATATCATAAATCTGTAATAATGGTGGAAAATGGATTGCTTATAGCTTTTAACATGACACAATCTACCAGTAGAATTAGAGGCTAAGAGGTTATAGTGGGCTATAGGGTCAGCGCATTGACCGACATACGGCTAATTGCTGCTGCTGGTAGTACTGAAGTTTGATACCATTGAATATTTAATGATTTTACTAACTGCACGGTCACTAGTACGGCCATAAAGACTCCATGCTGTAACAGAACAATCAAGTAATATAATGCACCATTCAAAAGTTTCAGGGGTCGAGTTATATTTTCATGAAAACATAATAAGTCCTGTTTTTGTGACGTCAGACAGGTGGTTGTGTAATTGTTCCTATAGGGGGCAGTTTAAGACACAACAACTTCCTTGTTCACTGTCCAATAATAAACATGACCTGTTGAGTTGAGACTGAGAGGACTTCCTGCTCGTTGTGTCAACCTTTGTGTTGTGATAAACTACTTATTATCTAATCCAGGTTAATGACATGCATGTCGGGGGGGGGGCAGTAGACTGGATCCAAATAGAAAGTTGTCCATTGTTGCGCCGTAGGCACTGGAGGCATGAAGGGAGGGAAGGAGGGAGGGAGTCAAAGCCCGGCAGCGCACGATCCACCGATGAGGAAGTGTAACTGTGATGTTGAGGGAGGGAGGAAAGGAGGAGGAAGGAGGGAGGGAACCGGCTCATCTCTGTAGTTGCGAGAGAGCGCCTGACTGGTGACCATAGCGTACTGGGAATTGAAACCATGTCGAGGGAACGTTACCAGTGATCATGTGCCTTATTGGCACCGAGTCGGTGCCGTTTGAACGGTGAAGGTTTGTGGAGGGGAAAGAGAGAGGAAGAAGAGGAGGAGGAGGAGGAGGAGGGGTAGACAGCCTGGCAGACAGGTGCGACTCCACTGCCTGTTTCAGATCCTCTCGCTCCTTTTTCCAGACATGGATACCCGCAAGGAAAACAAGGTAAGGAAAGCCATGAAACCCAAAACGGCGAAGCGGAAAGGGAAGAAACACAAAACGGGGAGGTTCATCAGGAGGAAATCGCTGCGATCTTTTGGGAATTTCATGGGAAGGATCCTGAAAACTTTGGGCACTTTGGCTCACTTTGGCGACGCGGAGCCGCCGGACCCGGAGGACGACGACGGCGGCTTCGGGCGCAGCGCGTCGGACTGCCCGCAGGTGTACCGGGGGAAGGGCGCCGCGGTGAAGAAGAGCTCCACGGTGTCCTCCTCCCACGGCTCGGTGAAGGACAGGCTGTCGTGGTGCTACGGCGACAAGACCCCCGGGGTGCTGGGGCTCAAGAACCACGGGAACACCTGCTTCATGAACGCCGTGGTCCAGTGCCTCAGCAACACGGACCTGCTGGCGGAGTACCTCGGGCTGGAGCAGTACAAGTCGGATATAGTGAGCCAGCAGCACGGCAGCAGGAGGCTGAACGGGGGGGGGGAGGCTGTGAGGGGCGACGAGCGGCAGGCGAACCGGGGAGAGGTGACCGAGCAGCTGGCGTCGCTGGTTCGAGCGCTGTGGACGCTGGAGTACATCCCGCAGCTGTCTGTGGAGTTCAAGGTGAGGACACAGAGAGACACGGGTGTTTTATTTTACCCCTCAAGGTTGATGCTTAATTGTATTGTTGCATTGCTTCTATTGTATTTTAATTTGGTTGCATTCCTTTATGACTGAAGTTATTTCACTCAGAGTTCAGCTGCCATGTCGCTGAGCAGTTTCTGTTCATTTTTGTCTGATCAACAAATATCTTTGTTATTTGAGCAACTTAGCAGCAATTGAAGGCTAGTTGTTAAAGGTAGGACTATTTAATATCAAAGTACTGGTTCTCAACTGGTGGGGTGAGGACGTAAATGTGGTTCCCAGAATCATTTTCAGTGGGCCCCAGACCCCCCAGGGGCCATGAAAACTCAAAGTGAAACCACTAAAAGCTCCTGTGATAAGAGTTTGTATCTGGTTATGAAACAAACCGGAAATACTACCAGTGCCTGTTTAAGACCTACGGAAGCAGAAATGGGCGGGTGTCAGGGTGGGTGTCAAACAAAGTGACAATTTTTTACAATTTCTGCAGCAAATACTGAGTGATACATTTAGACTGTTTAAATGAACGCAGGATGAAATTTGTCCTCAAGGAGTGTCACAATTGACTCAACTCAAGTTGAACACATGGAGCTTTAAATGAGGACAGACAGTCACAGGTGTTTCTCTCATAAGTTGCCACACATCACTCAGTTGTTGTGTTATTTCCTGTATTCCATCCTCCATGCCGTTGAGAGATGATCAGAAATGACTTCACAGGGGAGTAAAAGTCATAATGCCTTTATAACATTTTCATGTAGGGTCGACACATGACCACAACTTTAGAGAAACACAGACCAACTGCATCTTTTTCTGTAAAAATCACTTGATAGTCATGTGTTTAGTTCACACCGGCAATTCACATATTGCCCCCTCAGATCCCCCGGGGCCCTGAAACCACAGAGTTAAACCCAGTAAATTGGTTTGTGGTTATTCCATTAGCCTCCCTAACTCTGGGAATGTGCACTATGCGTAGAATAAAACAGAAAACCACGGGGGGGAGGGTTAGGGTATTTTAAATTAGATCACAAAATAATTGACACCCAGCAAACCTCTCTGAGTCTCCAGACAAAATAAAATTAAGCTACTTTGAGTTGTCTGCTGCTGCTGTGGGTGCTGCACACAATGCCGACTCGGAGAAGACAGGGTGCATATTGCACACTTGAGAGAGAGAGAGGGGGTCAATAGGGGCTCAAAGGGGAAATTCATGCCCCAGGCCCTCCCTGTGGGCCACTCCAGCAATGCATAAAGAGAGTCCATTACCTTCAGGCCAGATTACTAGTACACATTCTTCTCCTGGAATTTCCCCAGCTACCAGCCCCGAAGAGTTTATTTCCCTCAGCTTAAGTGTGAACTAGTCCTGCAGTCCGCTCTATACACACAGAACAGCAGGCGTATGTCGAGAGCACTACAGGAGGATCTGTAGGCAGTATATAACCCACTCTCACAGTCTGTATTGGCAAAACAAATATCTGAATGGAAGCATGAGCACATGATTGAGTGCGGTTTAAGGGTCAACCTTGTGTGTGATTAAAGGCGTGCAGGTCATGTTCCAGTGTTTCACACCCTCCCACTTTGCTGCACAGCTATAACATTTTATTGTTTGTTAAGCTAGAGGTAATGTGTGTGTGTGTGTGTGACTCACCTGCCCAACAGTTCAACCCATCAGGTGGTTTGTCTGCATTCCCTGATTGTGGAGTGCTGAGGAGTCGAGCATTCCTTTCACATGTACTCCTGAAAACATCTCGATAATGTCAGGAGGACTGCTCCAGAGATTCTCCTGACCTGGATGTTCACATATGCTCCTCAAAGCTGGAGACTATCCCTGTCAGACGGGAGGGGGGGCGGGGGAGTCTCCTGAGGTAAGATGTAAAAAAAACAACGCGGAAATATCGGACGTAGCAACAGAGTCCGCTACATGATGCTATAATGAGAATATTTGCCTTTATATCAAAGCTATGTGTAATCCAATGGAATCACAACTAAAGAGTGGAGAACAGCATACGCACTGTGCAGCAGTAACAGGATGTAAAGGTCACTCCCCCCTCCTATTGGCCAGAGGTGAATTCTCTGGAGAATATCCTGCTGTGTTCAGACATCAGCTCACTCGGGGACAAAATACCAGGAGGTCTGTCAGGAGAAACTCCAGGTGACGTCAGAGTGAAGAATTCGGCTGTTCGCGTTCACACATGCAGCTCCTCCTGGAAATATCAGGAGTTTTTTAGGAGATTTCTGCAAGTGTGAAAGCTCTATCCCCAAGCCGTCAATGTAGATCGTATCGCAGCATATCAACTTTTACAACATTATTACTTAAACCATTCAAATCTTTAAATATCCCAAGACGTCCAAATGACACCGTCATGTGTTTGAAACATTAATGCATGTCCTCGTTGTGTCCATAGATCAACAAGTGGTGACTCACTTAAACACTGAAAGCTTTTTACGTTTGCACTCACTCATGACTGTTGTGATCCAGTGCTGCAGGCTCCCCCACTTCCCCCCCTCTTTTTCTACTGAGGGGGCTCACTGAGTGATAACCGCCCCGCTGCAACCAGCAGCCTGAGGGAGGTTGTAGGGAAGGGGAGCCGTGCAACATGTGCACAAATCAAATCACACAATCACACAGACACGGAGAGACAGGGAGAGTGGGGGTGTCATTCATAATGGAGAAGGTGGATTTTCATGATAGTGACTTTGGGTGTATAGCCTCAACCAAACCCGCAAGTTAGCATGCATTAGTAACCATGTGTATTAGAGAGAGAGAGATAGCGGCCTGTTCCAAAAGCTCGAGGGGAAAAGTAGTGATTAATGCAGATGAAGAGCTTGATGCTATTTTGATCTTAAAAAATAAGAAACAGTCATGGGGTTATGGATCATTCATGATTGTAAGCTTTCAAGAGCACATTTTAGACTTCTGCAGCTTCACTAACTTCAGCCTCTGCAGACTCTGCACATAATTAATGTTTGTGATAGCAAAAAATCATGAAGGACGGCGAGACCTTGAAGGGTGTTTGGTATGAATGAATGGTCCTAGAATGAGAAATTTGGAGTCCTTTTAAGTAAAAGGATGTTTCTGAATTTTTTGGATCCTAGTTAAAGTGTTAATTAAGTGATGATGAGAGTGATCCCTCTTGACCTCTACATGGTTTATCTCTCGAGGATGCATTATACTTGTTAATAGTGTGGGAAACTTCAGGGTAAACCATAGACTGTATAAATAAGACGTAGTCTCAGTGATGTCACCCATTCGTTTCCAAAGAGGCCCTAATGAAGCCAAATGATGGCTGTCACCATATTGGAAAAATCGTCTCAACCTAACTTTCGATCAACTTAGAAAGAAGCTAACAGCTCCAACACATCCACCTGTCAGTCAACTAAGCCCCGCCCCTAGATATGCTAAATAAAAAATGTAGGTAATTAGCTATTTTATTTATTTATTTATTTATTTTTTAATACTTTATTGCAGGCTGTTTTACTACATTACAAGTTGTCATATTTCATCACATATTTTGTTCATCCTGTCATAATTCTTGAAACATACAAGAATACATACAACATGAAATAAAATAAAATCAAATAAAATCAAAAGTAAATTCTGAAATTAGCTATTGATACCAGATTCATTGTTTTGTACCACGCTGTAAACATGTCGGTGTCGGCTGCTTCCTGCGCTTTTGCAGCCAGCCTCAAGTGGACACTTTAGGAACTGCAGTTTTTTGCACTTCCCCATTGGCTTCTTTTTCGGCTTTGGGTAATCTGCCTTATTTATCATCTAATTGATCAGCCATAAGGGGTGACTGTTAAGCCATGATCGGTTCATGTTTAGCAACCCCCCCCTCGCTCTTCTCCAGAAGGGTGCCTCACTTCCAAGTTTCGGTGTTAGGGGTTCCAAAAAAAACAATATGGCTGCTTGTCTCTTACTTTAAAGGTGACGCATTTGTTGAAGATTGTTTTTCCATCTCAGTGAATCTCACTCAGGCCTGTCAAATTAAAACCAGGGGCCCAGTACTGGAAGAAAGCACTGACTATGAGCCATTGAACTTAATGTCTTAATGTGCCCCCCCCCCCTGTGTTTACATCCAGAATTCCCTCTTTACTCTATTTAGTGTTAAATCCTCTCATGATAGTTGGCTTCAGTTGTAAAAAAAAAAAAAGAAAAACACTCTCCTTTTCTTTCCTCGCGCCATCACATCGATGCAGTGATTTGTGTCTGTCTGCTCATCCTCCCATGAACCATGAAGCGTTTACTGCAGCATGTTCGCTCAGCCTGGAAAAGGAGGATGGCCCCCTGCTGAGACACCACCGATGGCGAGCACTCAGAGAGAGAGAGAGAGAGTAGGAGGGAGAGACATTTCTGGTAAACAAACCTTTCCTCCCCTCCTGTGAGCCTCATAAAAAAACCTCTTCTAGTCTGTAATCGGGACGAGGGATGACTTTGACAACGGGTCATTATTAGAGCCGCTAAAAGACCGCCACTGACCTGCAAAGAAGTGGAAAAAACACACTTTCTCTTAGATAAGGGCTCTCGCTGGACTTTTTGTAACTTTTCTTCAGTTTTTTTAGGTTTGGTATTAGGAGTGAGTAGGAGTCACAATGTCCCGACTGTAGACCAGAGTGACCTCAGGTTTTCAGACAGCAGAGAGGGAGGTCAGGATTCAAAATGTTCAGCACGTCCTTCGACTTTGACGCTCCTGTGAGGAGCTTTCAGTTGGTTATGAAACAGACCAGAAAGCAAGCGTGACTATCGGCATGAATACCGTATTGGTCCGAATATAAGACGACCCCTGATTATAAGACGACCCCCGTTTTTCAACACTCATATTTAGAAAAAAAAGATTTGCAGACCAGATCTTGTTTTTGTAAAGAACTTTTTTTAAAGAACTTCATTTTATTTGAAAATAACAATATTAAAAACACATTGACTGAAACACCTGTTGTAATAATAATTATAATAATAATTAACATACCGTATTTATCGGTATAGG